CCTGATGGGTATACACGGTTTGAAGAATCCTGCTATCTTCTGAACAATGAAGTTTCTTCCTGGATAGAGGCCTACGTAAAATTTTATATATATTTAATGTTAACAGGGAAATTAAACATTTTTTCGTATGCTTTATTTTCGTCCATTTTGCAATTCTTGCTTATGGTCGAATCTAAATCAGGTCGAATAAAAAACATCTATTGACCATAACACCGGGGAGTTGAGAGCGACGAAAACTTCTTTGGAAGTTTCAGAAGAAGAAAATAACCTTGTGTACATGTATGATACGACAGAATCCTCAAACTGAAAGCAATCTCAGATGTTCTAAAACAGTTACTGCAATATTAATTTGGAAAAGACAGCCCCTCCCCTGAATCCAGTCGTTGATTATCTAAATGTTATTCTTTTTTAATGGTTGAAAAAAAATGTGTCTGTTAATATTTCTAAATGAATATGAATCAAACTTTGTTTTATCCTTTTTGTTTTCGTTTGGTATTTTAGCAAATTTGCAACATCTTTGACAGCAGATTAGTTGAAGTGGATTCTTCGGAAGAAAACACATTCATTCAAGGCTACCTTAACGAACACGGACAACAAAAAGGTAAAATGTCATCTAGTGCACTGTACGATTTTATTTGAAAGTGGGGAATATTAAGTTTGGTCGTTCTGTTCCTCTGTCCGTCTGTCTGTCTAGCTGTACATGTATTTCTACCTGTCTGTGAACACTCGTATTCACGCAATATTTCGGATGCTTTTGAGCTTTTGCAAGGTAATTTTATATAACAACTCCCAAGAGCCACTGTAAGCCCCTATTTATTTTGCGTTCGAAAAGTTAAAGGACAAAGTCACAAACTCATACAATCTGTCTGAGTGTAAACTTTTATTTCTGGGCGATATGTCAAGAAACTTTTCAGTTCTTGCAATTAAATTTTATACCATACATGTAACTCTCTGTGGCCCCTCCAGCCCTTATTAAGTGCCAACTCATCCCTTGACCCACTCTAGATCCACGCATGCATTTATTGTTTCCTCAAGCAGGGGACCCAGATTCTTTCTATAGAAATCAAACAGTAGATTTCCGCCTTTTCCAGGTGCTTTATAGTGCAAACGTTCAGCAAACATAAACCTTTTTGACATACACTTAAAAGGGTCACTTAAAAAAATCGTGTTGCTTTCAGTGCTGCTTTAAGTCGTCTTATTTGCAGAAAATTAAGAATAAACGCACATTTCTGTACACAATTTGTTTTCAATATATGTTTTATTCATGTTACGGTCAGACGACACGTTCCTAAAAAAATATATAATTTTTCCTAATAATTTGCCATTGAAGTATAGGTACTTTAACAGGTTTTCTCACAAAAAAATTAGGGTACCTTACCAGGCATTTGGACAAGATACCACAAGGTCAAATTTCTTATAAAACCCTTATGGGTAAACTACTGAATGACATATATCACAATTTTTTGGTGTACTTATATTCAAAACATTTCAAAAACAATGTAGAAATCAGTAGAGAATGACAAATATGAATATTTTTTTATATAAAACCAAGAGAATACAAAACATACATTTGAGGAACATGTCGTCTGACCTTAATTAAATTTGAAAATGTTTAGTCACCACAGAGTCCTAACTTAGAAAAAAAACAATGTCATGAAAATTTTCCAACTCTTGATGTATTTTTTTTTCAGGGCGAATGATTACAACCTTCACTTATCGTGGTAACTATGGGAGCAGAGAAATAGAATACAGGAGTTTTCCCGGTTATTGGATCGGAGGACAATCCATGGAACTGCCCGGACACTGGTATTGGGGGAAATCAATGAAAAAGGTCGACTTCAGCATCCTAGGGAGTCACGCTGTTGATATAACTGACAGTAGTTGTCTGTTCCTTGACAGGGCAAATCTGTATCAGGCTGGAAATAAGCCGTGCTACACTGTGATGTACTCAGTCTGTGAAAAAGCACCATACACTGTATAAATTGTACTTAAACATGTATAAGCACGTAACAATTTCAATTCTTTGATTAGCCTTTGTAAAAAAAAATATATCGAAATATATAAAATCTAGTCTGTATATTAAAAAGTTGAATAATATAATAAAATACAATGAATTCCAAAAGTATGTAAAAAAATAAAATGACTAATTTTTCTATGTTGAGTAAGGATTTTGAGAATATAAAGAAGACCTGAGTGCCTTATGTTAATCAAACAAAAATAGCATCAGCGCATTATCCTCTACTCCTTTTAAATGTCTTTCATTTTCATTCTAAGAATTAGTCCTTGTATGTAAAAAACTGTTAAAATTATTCACATTCATAATTGTTTTCATATTATTACATTCTACATTGGTAATGTAAATGAAAAAAAAAAACAAAACATTTAAAATTTTGTTTTATAAAGTACACTGCCAGCATCTATTGGTACTGAAGATGTGTTTGCAAAAAGTTATAATATTAATCCTATCATATTTTCCCAAGCACATTTCAAAGTTTATTCAGCTGTATGTAAAAAAAATAAATTAAATGTGCTTTATATTGCTCAAATATATGAATTTTCAATAACTTTATGTTATTTTTCTCCGTGTCTTGTTCATTGGCACGTTCCCGCTACATTCATTCATGGCGGATATTATACTTACTTTTCCGGAAGCAAAATAAACTCTTACTGAAGAGATGGCAATTAATCATTTTTAGCAAGTATAAATTAATAAAAAGGTACTTAATAAATTCATCATGATAAAGAGTTTGCAAATGATTTATAATGTAACAATACAAGGCTCATACGACATGTTTTGATGATGATGCTTACTCCTTCATGGCACATAGTCTCATCTTGTTTTTTCAGAAGTCAATGTTGTTCTCTAGATGTTTTGTATTACCATGAACACTATACGTGATATTCACGTTTCACTCCAATACTTTACTATTTATTTCAGAAAATTTCAAAGACTACAATTTGAAATAAATCAAAATAAAGAATTTTGAATGTTTTTAAAAAAGGTTCCTCTGACATATAAATTTTAATATGTACTCAACCATGGTTTTGATAATTATTAAGAAAAAGCACAGTTATTGATGAGCATATTGAAAATAACTTTCTTTGACATTTTGGTATGGAGAATTTCGTCACTAAAGTAATTGATACAACAATATTCATAATGTTGCATACATATCTATTTTCGTGCTTTTTACATGTATATTCGGCATGCCTTCATAACTGCATAAGTTGGACCATTTTTACGACTTAGATCATTTTTTTTCACCTTTCATTAAGGTAGGATTCTTCTCACATTTAGAATTCTTCTCTAGAAAAGAATCCTACCTTAAGGTAGGATACTTCTATGGTTTCTGACTAGATGAATATTCAATGTATATTTGCTCAAATGTTTTATATATAGGTGAAAGGCATTTAAAATACCATATCTATCTTTCCTCATTACAATTGTACAACTTTAGACAGAAATTATAAACTGTGTTTGAAAATTAGCAGGGACTATATTTTTGGCGGAATGGTGGCGCATAAAAATATCTTCTTTTCTGCCTCTAAAAAATAATTACAGAATAACGAATTTAGTTGTAATTTTTACACAATCAAAAACTTCAAGAATTTTATAAATTTAATATTAGCTAAATTAATAATGAGGGACTAAAGTTCTAAAATATATTAAGGGTACTTACAATTTGTACCACAAACAAAAAATGGATGCGCGGGTTGATGTATATTTTCTGACTGATTTTGATTTGAAATGACATAAATAATAAATCCCTGAAACATTAAGAAATCGTAGGTTTTCCTTTGTGCTTAGATATGAGATTTTGTTTTGCTTTCTATATAATTCCATACAAAATTTTGCACGATTTTTTTAACCTTATGACAAAATCTTATATAATTTTCTCACTCTACTTGGTGAACATTATTCAGGATGTCAATTTAAATGTAAATCTATGAAGAATAATGCTGATTTCTGAAAAAAGTTTGTTTGTGTTATTTATCCTTAAGTATATATGATTTTCCAAACAAACAATTATGTTAGCGTTTAAAAACTTCTAATCCGAGTACAGATATGGGCCAAAAGTCCGAAGAAAGTGTCATTACTCTCTTATTAAAGGGTCAAAACTTTTTTTGTATCATTTTGTATCTCTACATGACTTCTTTACAATAAGTGAAAATAACAAAAAATTAGATATAGGGCGCATATAAAAATAACATTAAAAATTTAAAAATTTAAGAAAAATAGAGAAAAATCGAATTAGCCAAAATCCATTTTTGTTAAACTTTATGATTGTGTTATTTTGGTAATATCAACTTATAGACCTTATATGGTAATATCTTTTTATGCAAAAAGAAAAACATTTAATCTTTTGAAATAGAAGACCTTATCGCATGATTCGATGTTGTCATTTTTATTCTTAATGTCTAGGGAAAATTTAATGACTTTGACCTGACCTTGACTCTACTATAAAACTGTCAAAACTTATCTAACTGATACCATCACTTAGTAAATATTGTCTTCTTGATTCTTTGAAAATTTCATAAATTTCTAAGTACAAGAAATACAGTTTTGTGTGAGAAGAATCCTACCTTAAAACGCATAGTTAATCAAGATTTACCTTTTATTTTCCCCATGTGTTACCATGTATTAAGATAATTTACTTTTTATCAGTCCACATTCATGTGCATCATTTTAAACTTATTACCATTGTCGGTATACATGTAATATCTGTATAGCGTGTTGTATATACATCGTATTATTTTTTAAACACGTAGACTGTGTATCAGAATAAAGTATGTCTTATCTCTGTACACTTGATCTTTACAGTTCACAACTACGCCTACTTAGAGTAGAGATATATTTTTTTGCAAACAGATCAGTACATTTGTACATTTGATGGAACTTTAACCTCAGCTATGACAAACTTGTGTAACTAGACAATTCTAAATCACGAGGATTCAAATCTAGACATAAGTGTTTTTCAAGTATTTATAGTTAACAATTGCTCCGAGGAGTATTAATATATTAAACAACGCATACTCCGTATTGACAGAGTACATGTACGAATGAAAAGCTTGGTGTGAATTAATGCAACTGGACGTCATGAATTTCAAAATGCCTTTGATTGTATTTTCTATTTTTCTTGCTAGCGGTATTCATGGTAAGTGGAGTATTAAAAATGAAATATATTGGTTAAAACAGAACATAATCCTTCTGTAAAAAGTTCAATGTTTGATTGTTTTTATTAGTTCTAAAGAGTAAAAATATGTTGCTTGAGTAAGTGCAATAATGACTTAGTTAAAATGATTTTTAAGAAGTCTTTCAATGAACATTTATATGTAGAGAATTTTATATTTTAATTTTTTTTAAACGATGATTTTAAACCTAATATTAATTCAATATAATTACATACCGTCTTCTAAGTAAGTTTCTTTGATCATTCTTCAAATATAAAATATACAGAGATAGCAAAGAGTTAAAAAGCTCAAAATTCCATTAAGCAATACAGAATTGAAGCGAGGATAAACACGAACCTCGAAGAAGTCAGAGGTGGGATCAGGTGCCACAAAGAAGCGAATATTCCCTGCTGATCGGTCACACCAACCGTGTTCTCCTTGTCTGACACCTGTTACATATTTGGATTTTTACTTGAAAAAATTTCTATGAATCGATTGCTAGTTTTATGATAAACGTGACGACTTTAACGTTTCAATCGTCAGCTTATCTTACCTACATGCATGCTGCATTGTTCCTTCATCTTCTGCATTAGAGGTTTGTATCTCTCACTTGATTCGATACGCAAAAGCATGTTCTACAATTTTGAAAACGAGTTAAATTATTAGCAAACAAGTTTATGAAACAAGAATATCATCAATCTCGTTTTTCCAGTCATACATTTGCTTTTATGGTCGACACAATGACCTTGTCAGCAAATACAGTTCTTATTCAATCAATTGCTGACTGACGTTACTCGTAATAATTTTTCGGCCATCATTTTCATATTGAATTGTTTACGGATTTTCCGTTATTTCCCGATCTTGACAAGGAGCACACGGCGGATGTGACCGGTCGGCAAGGGATGCTCTCCCTCCTTCTTGAATTGGCACCTGATCCCATCTCTGATGTTTTTAAGTTTCCCTCTGCTTAAATTTTGTATCGTTTTATGGACTTTTGAGTCTGATTAGTTCATAAGGATTATTGCAGACTCAGTACCTAGCATGACATGAATCATGATGATAAATAAATGATCTTACATCCTATTGATTTATATCAAATGAAGAAATGTACAGTTTATTTTCAGTACTTGCAATTTTGATTCATGAAAATTCATTGACACTACATGTACTTGTAACAATAAAGGGACTCCTATTAGCAACTCCTCTGAAAATGTGGAAACAAAGAGATGTCCTGATGGGTATACCCGGTTTAAAGAATCCTGCTATCTTCTGAACAATGAAGTTTCTTCCTGGATAGAGGCCTATGTAAGATTTTTTTAGATCAGTGTTGAAAAGGGAAAATAATAATAAAAAATGCTTCTTTATTTTCGTCCTCTTTGCCCCCCTTAAACGGGTGAATCTAAAAGAGAGCAAATAAAAGAAGATCTATTGACCATATTTTTGGCTAGTTACGATTGATGAAAACGTCTTTTAAAGTTAAAAAAAAAGAGAAAATAACCTTGCACATGTATGCCGTACAACAGAATCCTTATCAATGCATACACCAATTGAAAGCAGTTTCAGTTGAGTAACATAAATTAAAGCATCATTCATTTGAGAAATAGCTTTTGATTCTAGTCTTCGATTTTCTAAATTCTGTTAATTAGGGTTGCAACATGCGCCTGTTAATCTTATTATATAAACCTATATCAGGCCTCATTTTATCCTTCATACTTGGATTTATTTTTTTTTATTCTTTTTAGCAAATTTGTAACATCTTTGACAGCAGACTAGTTGAAGTAGATACGTCGGAGGAAAACACATTCATTCAGGGCTATCTTAAGGAACACGGACAACAGAAAGGTAAAATGTCATCTAGTGCACTGTACGTTTTTATTTGGATGAGAGGAATATCAATTTTGGTCTTTCTGTCCCTCTGTCTGGCTGTCTGCCCAGCTGCATTTCTGTTTGTCTGTAACACTGTCGTTTCCACGCGATATTTCGAGAATCTTTTGAGCTTAAGAAATACAATTTTACCCAACAACCCCCTATGGCCTATGAAAGGCCAATATTTTCTTTGAGATCAAATAGTTATAGGTCAAGGTCACAAATTCAAACAGTCTGTGTGTGTAAAACTTATTTCCAGTAGATATCCCGAAAATCATTTAAGGTTTTGAAAATAAATTTTGAATGCAGGTACGATAAGACTTCCCAGAAAATATTGCAGTGTACTTTGTGTATAAATGTATGACGTCATAATAATTGAAAAATGACGTCAAGTCATTGCAAATTTGAGTTGTAAAGATGGGGATCGTGTCATAAAATTTACACCTTATTTCAATCTGCATATAAAGAGTCAGAAAGCTAGTTTAAAATAAACACATTTTGATCTTCTCTTTTTAAGTATCTAACATATCAGAATATTTAGATAACTTTGCTTTATTACACTGTACACTTATTTAAAGTCAGCGTGTTAAAAATGCGTACGAAAATGTACGTTTGTCATTTATCCTTTTTGATACCCTTGGATAGAAGCAGAATTCAAAACATATGTATAAAAGAGCCAGGCACAGGTTATAATACATAGGGTTATTGAACTTATATTGGTGAATATTGGCACTCGTTGGCTGTACAAATGCATGAACTTAGTGTATTTGAACAGCAAACTTGTGCTAATATTCACCAATATAAGTTCAATAACTCCTTTATATACCGGTAGCTAAAACATTTCCTCATTCTTTAAAATAATAATTCCAACTAAAAAATCAAATTTATGATTTTTTTAGTATAAGTATTCAAATTAACGCGTCCTGTAAGTGTTCAACAGGTCGGAGAGAATACTCGAAATCGGGTATTATCCGTGAAATCGCATATAATACCCGATATTAGGGTATCGTTGAATCCGCGAAATCGGGTATAGGACGTGTAATCACCTAATAAAACTAAAACAATGGGATGGCGCATGTTGTCGAGTTAACTTTCATCTAGATACACATGTTTTCTAAAGGTATCACTAGTCAAGTAAGAATTTGGGCGTCAAGATTAATGCGCTCAGGACAACAAATACCCGTGGAGCTCAGTACATTTCATGATCTGCACACAAAAAGGCGTTCGATTTGCTTTATATTTTTCCTTGCGTTGAAAGTATATGCATCTTCCTAATGTTCATTCCCAACACAACAGAACTGTAAAGTATCAGAATTCAGGAATTTATAATAATTCCACACGAACACGACAAACATGAACAATTTGTAAATAAATCAAATTATACGGAAACACATTTCACACACAAGATATGATGCCATGTATAAACAAAGGGTTGTCTATCGTATCTAATTATGCGTCATTAATTACTTTCACATTCATCTTGTGCATAAAATCAAATTTATTTATGAATGTATAAATAATGTAATGATAAAAATGTCTAAAAGAACTATATGCGGTATATTGCATATATTTGCCCCCACACAAGTCAAATTTTGAAAACTTCCTGAAATGTGCTGAATTCAATAAACTGTATGAGAAATATAAATTAACAGAAAATATTATAATTTCAAAGCAGTGTATTTACAATTTTTGTTTTTATGACGTCACAAACTAGTCCGATTTTATATCCTTTTTCAGAAAGAGGACAAAATGGACAAAATTTCAACAAATTTAGCTTTAAAATTTATAGAGCGCAAGTTTGTTCAGGATCAATATTGACATATTTCATTGATATTATCATTCTACACATTATATCAAAATATTTATCCTGAACACACATGCGCTCGGTGACTTTTACTCAAAATATTGACGAAATATGTACATTTTTCTGTAAAATTCATAAAAAAAACTTAAATTTACGTCGTGTTTGTGACGTCATTACGTACATATGACGTCATTACTTATGAAAATATTCAGTGCTTTGAAGTCAGCATATACTCCCCTGTTTTAGAACTTAATTTAATATATCTCCATCAAAGTTTGATTTTGGGGGCAAATATTGGTTATTACAGAATAAAGTTCTTTCGGCTGAAAAACCCTCTTTCTCTTTTTTTGAAAATCTTTTTTTTCATCATTCATACATATTTGCAGAATATGTCTTCAACATTTTAGCAGAGACAGTGATAGTTCCAGGAATACAGCTTATGAGAGAACATAACTGTTGATCGTTTAATTTCGCTAAGTCATCAATATTTTACCATTTCTTGGCGACTTCAAAGGGGGGAGCTGGGGGGGAGGGGCTAAAGGCTTCTTGACCACATCTGACAAAACAACCTCGACTGTGTTCTACATGTGTCCAAGAGAACTCTCTTTGAATGTCACGGTCGGTTAAACTCGGTCACATATTTTTAATTGTAGGGAATTCATCAAATAAAAATCATGTAGGTAAACAAAAGGCAACCTGTTATTTTCTAACACAATATGAGACTACAAGTAACTAGACTTCATGTTTATTTTTTTTTAACACATTTTTTCATTATATATGAGTATTAGTAAAAGTTATTGCCATGAGTAATAATTTTATCATAGATAAAATAACTAAAAGAAAACTGACATATTGTCTAGAACCAATCAAATTGTGCGTTGTATTAGAATATTATAATGAGGTATAAGATAGCGATATAAAAAAAAATATAGAAGGTAAAGAGGTAAAATTTACCCTGTCTATCAAATAGTATAACAAAGAAAGGAAATGGTTACATTTTTTTTTTTAATGAAATTTCAATGTCCGATGAGGAATTATATTCCCAAAAATTAAGACAAGAGTTTCCAAGGCAATTGAACACTTGACTATGTAATTTATATTTCAATATGACTGTACCTCGATCTATATTGAGAAATTCAATGTATTATAAGCTCATGAAAAGATGCACACATTTGACTTTTATTTATAACCCCCCCCCCCCCGAAAAAAAAAAACTAGAAAATCCTGTTCATATGACTTCTCGCTCTCAATTTTCACACAAATGCATAAAATAAAGGTAAAATAGCATATCTTGTATCGAATAAAATGCAACCAAAAAATTTACAGTGTCTTTGAATAAAAATTTCCATGCTAAATTGAAATAAAAAAAAAGATACTCCCCTTCAATTCGCTATTTTCAACCTGTTTTCCCGTGAGTATTTATTTAATCTGATTTTATATTCTTCTTCATGATAACGTTGGTATTCTATTATGGCAGAGATATACAATTATGACTCGCTCATACAGTACTCTCTAACTGTTAGGAATAATTTATATTTCACGTGAAAGGGACACCATGCATTTTTCAGTAAAAATACATAACACGGCGTTAGTCGTTTAATTTCTTTAAAATTTCACATGTTGTGAATAGTGCACAAATAAGAAAATTAAGTATATGGAATACTTTAATGGGAAATAAAGACAAACGAAGTGTAGCTATTTGTTTTTAGAAATTATATTGAAAAATAATAACGCCATTGTGTCCTCTTTGTTACCCCAGCAGTGTTTGTCGTGTGATTTTAAACTTATTTTACAACCGCATGAATTAGGTTTAATAAAAATAAATCCACAAGATACTGATATACAAGTAACAGTAACTGGCATAATGCGCCGTTGCTTTATTCTTTAGTTTTTATAGAAAGTTGAATTGCACGGAATACTCGATTTCGCGGATTCAACGATACCCTAATATCGGGTATTATACGCGATTTCACGGATAATACCCGATTTCGAGTATTCTCTCCGACCTGTTCAATATGGCCTCATTTCGATGACCTTACCGAGCGTTATGATTTGCTTATGTAGGTTTTAATGGGTCTCATAATTACTCAATTTTTAATAAAGGAATTCATTTTCATGTAAAAAATAAACACATATTACCTAGATGCCAATTCCTTTTTTCTAAATTTTACTCTAAGAATTTGACCACATGAATTTTTGGCGTTCCATATTGAACGCTCGTATTCGGGACGTTTTGGGCACACTCGTATACGTATTACAAACGTAATAACAAGATATTAAACTTTAAATTTCTCTAGATTTTTGGTAGTATTTTATTAGAGAGTATTCATTAGCTATATAATAATGAGGATTGATTTGAGATTTTTGTTGGAAATCTGTAAGAGGAGTTTCTCCTCTAACTGAATATTGCTTGGGGAAAATGTATGATGGCTTTGTTTTATAACAAATGACGATATTTATCGGAAAATACCCTAAGATTTTTCTGTAATTTGAAGTTATTATGAAATATTTTGTACCAGTGTAATAATATAACTTTTTCCAAGCTTATTTCGGGTTCACAAGGATCAACAAGTTTACGTACATGACAAAAAGCTAAATAAATAATAATTGTGTTAAACAACTGCGCCGAAGCGATTTAGCTAAATCATTTTAAAAAAATAGAAATGACCACGTGATCAACAAGGCCATGTGATATCGTACCAAGTATGTTTGTGTATAGCCTAGAGAATAGGGCGTACTTACAGTGTAAGTACATAACTTAAAAATAAAATTCCAAATCAACTTTGCAATGAAGTGTTACGTTTACCATGCATTTAAAAGCTCAGGGAAGCCTTAACGTTACTGCGTACCATACATCTTACTTCCACTGGCCCAACAAGCCCTTCTTAATGTAACCTCTCCACCCCCTCGACCATCCCCACTAGATCTAAGCAATCCATGCATTTTTTTCTTACGCAGGGGAACCAGATTCTCTGAATTGGCCTGACGTGTTTGCTATCACACATCAGATTTCTGTGCATATATTTTTACGTGCTAAACAGAGCAAAATTTTAGCAAACCTGAATTCATTCTTTTGACATGTACCTATTAGGGTCAATTAAAAATAAAATTAAAGCCAACGTTGCTTTTAGTTATCTTATTTTCACAAAATCTAGAATAAGGGCACTTGTGTTTAATTGTTTTTATGTGCCTTTCATTAATATTACGTTAGATTTTACATTCATGTTAATCGAATTTGAAAATGCTTTGTCCTAACATAAAAAAATGTGAAAATCTCAACTCATAAATAAATGTAAAAATAAAATGATTTTTATTTTCAGGGCAACTTATAACGACCTTCACTTATCGCGGTAACTATGGAAATAGCAATCAGATGGAATACAAGAGTTTCCCCGGTTACTGGATCGGAGGACAATCCATGGAACTGCCTGGACACTGGTATTGGGGGAAATCAATGAAAAAGGTCGACTTCAGCATCTTAGGGAGTCACTCTGTTAATATAACTGACAGCAGTTGTTTGTTCCTTGACAGGGCAAATCTGTATCTGGCTCGAAATAAGCCGTGTTACACTATGATGTACTCGGTCTGTGAAAAAGCACCATACACTGTATAAAGTATACTGAAGCATGTATCAGACGTCGCATTACTGTAACAATTTCTGCATTCCTTTTTTTTTTTAAAAAAATTTAAAAACTATATCGAAACATCAGTTGCATGTTAAAACGATTAATAAAACAATAAGATACAATAAAATTTACAAGAGATCTAACTCTTCTAAAATAAACTACAAAAATATTTATTTTATTTAATATTCTTCAACATATTAAGTGGTACTTGAGATTTTACCATATGAAGTAACAATTTTGAAAATAATGTAAAGAACACGTTTTTCTGTGTGATTGCGTAAAACTAATATCAGCATATTTTCTTCCTACTTTTTGTTAATGTCTTTTAATTGCATTCAAGGAATTAGACCATGTTTGAAAGCATGGTTCAATCATTTGCTTCATTACTGTATTCGCATAATTACATCGCTTTTTAGACAATAACGAGATTTTGGTAGTACATGTAAAAGATTATGCGACACATTACAAATACATCATCAAAACATAAAGAAACATTCAGTGTTGTTATTTTTTTGTAGAGACGAATAATTAATTTTGCATTGCAACAATATATAAGTAAGAAAAAGTTACAATAAAATATTTTTTTTTTAGAGAAAATCAGTGATATTATTCGTGATTTACAAAAGACGATTGTCAAAAGAAAGTTTCATAAATCAGAAGAATAGCCAGATATGATGAGATATTGTTAATTCATACAAATGTTCCTCGAAACATTATTTTTTATCAAATTTCTCTCTCTTTTTCAAAATTACTTTTTATATCATTATTTAGTTGACAAGGATGTTAGCAGGAACATAAAGAAAATAAGCAGCATAGAAGTTAATGAATAATCCCGAAAAATTTAAGAAAATAGGAGAAAAGTCAGATTAGGCAATATAATTATAGTTAATTTATTTATATGTTTGAAAATTTGCATGATATACCACATCAGGAATTTTCTCTCTATTGAAAAAAAAAGAATGAAGACAAAATTCCAGAGCATAATGGCAGATCACCTTGCAATAACTTTTTCCTATAGTTCACTACATTTTTGTGTTCTTTAACAAACTAAACTCCAGTTCATGAGAAAAACAGAGTTTAAATGCAAGAAGATTTATTATTAATACACAATTGAACAATTTTATGTTCTCTTGATCAGTTAACAACAACTGATCTAAAGACATGCCTGACATGCCTTTTAAGGGCTAGGGCATTCTCTGAAACACGTTCCCATTGTATCTTGACAGTCCCGGATGCAACTAGAACGTTTTTTACATCCCTTTTTACAGGATTCTATGGTATCTTCACAGCCACAGAAACACGGCTTGTCGAGCTACATCCTTCGGAGGAATAAAGAGCCAATAAAAATAACATTCCAAGTAAAATAAACCTCATTCAGGAAATTTTCTGAAAATAGAAAAAGTCCAACAATAAAGTTCCTACAACATTCTTTTTTTTCTCATTGTGCAACATTATTATACAAAAATGTTTTTTATTGTCACGGAAACCCTTACATATATTCCTCAAACAACCTCAACCCCTTTTTAAATACTCTACTATGCCCTATTTTAACCTCATTAAGGTAGGTCCCTACTCGTAGAATTAACTGGATAACAGTGCAATTTTTGTCCTGATTTACATTACGAGATACTATATCTACTTCAAAAGCACAAAAAATAGATAGATAATCTATATTTTTATTGAGATAGGGTGTCAAACACTCAGGTACCCTCTTGTAAAAAAACAAAATTCCGACTGTTATAAAGACGGTCTACAGTTTATGTCATTGCACATAAATTCTTTTGAACATAAATCACAAGGACAAGGATAATAATGAATAATTTCAGGCTGTGGTACACGTTACTGGTTAAAACTAAAAAAATATTGAAGAATTAATCTCATTTTACTAATGAAGTAACAAAGCTCAAAACTCAAATAAATCTCTCTATTAGAATAATTAATTTGTTTACCCTGATTTTTTTGTCTTTCTTTATAGCAACCGATGCTTGAAGTATCTTTTAGGCATGATAAATGTATTGGTTATCTGTCTTTTCACCGAGATATGGGGTAAAACATACAGGTACACTGTACCCCCATCGCAGTTCAATAGCTCAAGCCTTTTATGTCCACAAAGGTATTTATAAATCAGCTAAAAGGTGAAATATTTTTTTAAAGAACAATTTTATCAAAATTTACACACCCTTTAAAAATTTTATTCTCAATTTAATTCTGAATATATTATAAATACAGCCTATTACAGGGGACATGTCCACTACTAATGATAACGATTTTACTGGATCCCTATTACTACTTACAAAAGATTTTAAGTAAGATATACAATGTCTTTCAATCACAATTATGTCTAAATTTTCATATACATCATTAGTAGCTTGATTTGATTTTTTTTAATTATAACTGAGTACCTTCGTTCGTATGTAGAAAGCCGTCAAAAACGAAAGTAGGAAAATCCCATCTGCACAGCATATCAATTGTGCACAAATGAAAACAATAAAGGAAAAGTATTATTTAATGACATAAAAGCAAATTATTTGCCACGTTTTCTGTATATAGGTATCAGAAATATTGGAGTTGTATGCAATCATAAACGTACACTATCAATATTACCACCTAGGCAATAATTAATTTGCATCATAAGAAGGTTTAATTAAGAAGCCCTGCTGACTATACCCCGGTCACTAGACTACAAGTTTTTTTGACTGATGATGACAGAACATTTTCAAGGTGTAGCTTTTGAAATATAATATGATATATATAATATATAAATGTAATATAATTTTTTTTATGTATGCATTTGTAGTCCAGAGAAGTGCATGCACAGGTGTAGAGTACACTGCAATATTCTCTGGGAAGCCTTATCGTACCTTTGTATAAAAATGGACACTTATTGGTACCCATACATTTAAGGATTTTTATTCAATTTTCTGCCGATGCGTTTAGTGATACAAAAACACTTAAATATGGATTTTACATTTTTAACATATCAACCACTGATTACGGTAGCTTTCAAGAAAGTTTGAAACTAAATTTCTCTCACAGCTGTGCGCAAATTAATGCTTGAAACAATAACTAAATGTTAGTTCTCTTCTTATGGAGCGTAAAACCTCGCACAATAAATCAGAGCTTCTATGAAAACTTTTTGTAAATAATTTTTTTTTAATTTTCTATCCGTTTTGAAGTAAGATTGTCGACTTCAGTAGTAGTAATAAATATGACAGGAAATGTTTAAATTTAAATTCAGGAACAAGTACATCAGGTAGAAATGGTTTTCGTTACTTCTAGTCAATTAGGTTCAGCTACAGCTAAAAAATAATACACCATTCCTCTTCACTACATGTAACAGTCATTTTTTGCGAATAAGCAATGGTCTTCTAAGAAAAAAAAATATAATTATCTTTTTAGAGAGCAGTATAAATTGCTTCGAAAAGTGTCAAAAAGGTTTCTACAGAGATGAAATGTGAAACAAATTTCACTGTGATTTTAAGAATAGCCATCGAGTAACAGCTGGGTGCTTACAATTCACTACATGTAATTGTTTTGTGATACAAAACAATAATGGTTTAAAGGGTACTTAACACAAACGAAAAATTGATGCATGGATTGATTTATATTTTTTGACTGATTTTGATTTGAAATGGCATAAATAATAAATCCCTGAAATATAAAGAAATCGTAGAATTTCCTTGCTGCTGAGGTATGAGAGTTTGTTTTTCTTTTTATATAATTCTATATTAAATTTTGCACAAAGCTTTAGCCTTATGACAAAATTTTATAAAATTATCCCGTTCTACTTGGTAAACATTATTCAGGTTCCAAATTTAAATGAAATCTTTGAGAAATATTGTTAATTTCTGAAAAAAAGTTTGTTTATGTTATTTATCCTTAAAAGATACAATATTAACATAAAAGTCAAGTAAATGAAATCAGTTAAAAACCCTGGATTGTGTATTTGAATTAACGAAATAACATTGTTTGATGTGAATAATGTATAACATAATACATTATTTTAAAAATGTTAAGAAGCATTTTTCCCTTGTATTACCGAAATAAAACTGATACAATTTTCGGATTTTATTCTGGAAAAAATATTGAAATATGGCCTTAATATTAAATATTTATATAAATTTAATGGATTTCTTTAAGGTCTAAAAATGCAATGAAATTTCAAACCTATTGTTTTTAACGTAGATGTTTTGAAAGTTCAATACATTTATAACTATTTTACACGGTGCAATAATTGCATTTTCAGATGGTTTCAGTATCAACTCAGTATTGTGATCAAGTTAATACTTTTCGAACATTTTTTTTCATTTAATTTCTAGAATTCTTTTTAAAAGGAATCATAATTATGTTTATCTTGTTCATCAGAACTCGGGTCCATTGTTTCGTAAAATAGTTCAATCTCCTTTGATTCCTTTTCCTGACAAGAACCTTTATTTTCTTTCTCCTCCGATATTGTGTTTTCATAAATTGATGGAATTCCACCTGAGGCTTTTTCGATCCTCTTTAACATAGATCTGAAATGTTTCGAATAAATTTCAATCTACATTGCATGTGCCGATTTTAAACATACTTAAAATTCAAAATAGACATTGGAATATGTGACTTACCTTTTACAATATACAAAGAAGAACCCAAAGTTAATCTAAAGGGAAGCAATCAGTGCTGTCAACAAGCCAAAGACTTTCAAATTGGTGTTTACGATGTGACTTTTACCTTTCAACATACAAAATCACGATAGTATTAATTTGCTTTGTATTGATCAATAATGAAAGATATTTCCATTAATATACTGCATGCGTTTTATAACGAGTGCATTTATATTAGACATTTTACCATTATACGCATCGACTTCAGGTCCATTGTACATTCCAGTGAATGGATCACAGGACAAGTTGCATAATTGTGAGCATTGTTGTCCATAGAATCCATTTAAACACACTGTCAAGTAAGTAGAAACAATAAAGTTCAAATTTTGTTGAAATTGTAATTCTCCAGATATCTATTAGTGTTTTTTTTTTTAATTATTACGAATATTCCTTTCAATGAGTAATGTATCGATGACTTTAACAGAGATAAAAAAACAACTATGAATCATAATCATTTTCAAAATCAGGAGATTTATATTCAGACCTTTTGAACAGTCTGCATTCCTCCAACCCGGAGCACATCCTCCATCACAATAACCTGTTGTCACATTACAATTAGTTCCATTTACGCATGTTCCTGTGCATTCTTCTGTGCAGTTGCTTCCATAAAGACCATCTGGACACGCTAAAATAAATATTGATATGAAATTTATTATTTTGTCATTTCATGCAGATCTACATTTTTCATGGATTTTCTTTAATTTATATTCCAAATATCCGGGAGATAATTTTCAATAGATACAATTTTACAAATTTGTACATTTTTACGCACAGGAAATTATTCATATTTTGAGAAATAATGACCATGTATTCGTATCATAATTAAATTAACGGGCATAGATGATATGTTTCTTTTTGTAAAATCTCGAAATCAGTGATACATATTTTGAAATTCAAATCCTATTTAATATTCAATAAGCTGTTAAAAATAAGTAAACAATCGGTCATTCTGGGGAAAAAAAAATAAGGTTTCTAATATAGAAATGTTGCTGTATGGCCGCTTTGGACGAAGGTTAAAGATCCTTAAATGCACTTCAAACTCCAAGATCAAGAGATAAACATGTTTTGTCCAGAGAAAGAAACTGTGTTGGTGGATATACCAAGTAAATATCAAATTCAAAAACACAAACCATTCAAAAGTTATGATCAGGGCTAATATTTTCTAAACTTTTGTAAAAATCCAAGATCAAGACCATGAGGCAAGAATTAATTGTACAAAACTGAAGACCTTGTTATAAGATATATATATGCAAATTATAAAAGCACTGTCATCAAATGGTACATGTGAATGTTATAGCGAAGGTTATGCTTGTTTTTCCAAAAATATGTCAAACTCTAAGATCAAGGTCAGAAGTCAGAAATACTAAAATCCAAAGGAAGGTATTTTCATTAAAAGTATGCATGTTAAATTCAAAAGCTCATGACGTGTGCTAGCTTTTCTAAAAATATGTTGAAAATCTATGGTCAAAATTCAAAGATTAGATATATCTATACGTATCGAAAAGTCTTATCACAATGACACACAAATGTGAAATATTGAAAGCCTTACCACGAATTTTCACAAGGGAAGTCTTGTCACAAGGAATACACAGGTGAAACAAGGTAGCTATTGTCTCACTTCAGCAAAATTAATCAAAAAGTTATGGATAACGTTAAAGTTTTGTGGACAGATAGACAGGATAAAACTATATACAGCCTAATCATCGCTGACAGTGACATAAAATGCATACCTGAGTAATATCTCTCGCCAGTGTAACCGTCAATGCAACCATTATCACACACACCGGTTTTGTGGTTACATTTTTCAGCGCCATTTTTACAGTTCCCATAAGATTTGGTACAGTTTGGACCATATGTACCTTCATGGCATTCTAAGGAAATATAAATTCACTCATTTTTCCCCCGTAACATTCAAAACACATAACCTTTTGTCGGTCGAAAATTTTGAAAGTTATTTTTTTTCAAATAATAGCATATTATGTAAGAAAAAATGTAAGAAATGTACGAAAAAATACATTGTTTTAAAAGCAAAGCATTAAAAAATCTTTTCTATGCTAAAAGGTTTTACTCTGATAACAGTCATTTCCTTGCCACCCATCCTTACACCTCCCACTTAAACAGCGTCCATCTATGATGTCACATGATTTCCCAATGCAGTTTTCTGAACAATTTAAACCACAGTTTGTACCAAACTCACCAATGTTACATCCTGCAATACGTGAATACAAAGCATAAATTATTACACGTATATAAAAGCCAAAAAAAAAAAAAAAAAAACAAAAAAAACGGTTGAATGTTTCTAAATAAAATTACAATGTTATTACTTTTATATGTTGATGATAGATAGACTATCAAATATGAAAATAAATTTGTCTTGAGAAAAAATTTATTTGAGATATTTATTTTGCATATTGATATGTACATATATAAAATAATAGCAGCCATTTTATTGCACAATCCATATAATGAAGTTAGAGCAAAATACTAAAGACAGGTCAAAATATATTACAGTTAACATCTTTAGTGTCCTTTTTAATTAAAACTTGGGTTTTAATCAATTGCTTGAAGAACTAGTCTCTTCTCAGTATGTAAGAAAAATGATATTTTCATAAAAAAAGATTAATAATGACTTTTTTGTACAGAAATGATGACGTAGTAAAGGCATTTCTTTTTTTTTGGGGGGGGGGAGGGGGTAAAACATCGACAGATTGGGGGATCACGGGCTGTTTTTGGCATTTCCGTAAAATTTATCTCCTTAATACAGATTTGCAGCAAGTAAAAACTATTCATCTCTGTTTTGATGCTAATTTGGCAGTTACAGATACGATATTTATTCATGACTAAGAACTGAAATATGGAAAACACGGCACAGTCTTTGTACTGTACTTATTTGACCTAATAAATATTGAAATCATTCATAATGCTAAAAGAACAGTTAGTACAGGTTCTTCTGCTCGTGAAACCATGGATAACTGATTTGCTGTATCATTGTTTGAAATGCACAGTGTGTAACTATCCAATTATGAAGAATGTGCGGAAAACTAGCAAGAAAACAGGGTTTCAGAATCAACAACAGTGAAGGAATTATTGCTGACAAAATTACATTAAATGGACTGATTACGGAATCATCGAGAGATGTCTTAAAATAGGTTGTTGTAAGTCTACCTGAAGGCATTTGTACTTGAAACTTACTAAGAATTGGGGTCTAGCTTTTAAATTTTGTTTGCAGATTTCACGATTTATATAGTACATTAAAAATTGCAGGCAACACAAATAATTAATGAAAATATGTCATATGATTGCTGTAAAAAAAATCACACAATCAAGGCAGATATATCAAAACAGTATGATCAAAGTAAGTAACGGATTTTGAGTTCTAGATATTTTGTTCCATACATAATGTATTGTAGACTTACCTAATATTTTAACATTGCAAATCGCGATACTTGGATCCTATTTGTCAGCCTCCAACTCTATAAACACAAACTGTCCATGATAAGCACACTTTGTTTTAACAAATAGTGGTTCTCTGTCTTTCAAGGTTTTTGTCATGCATAAAACCATTGCGTTTCCAGATCTTGAATTAGTTAAATAAATTGATACGTTGCCATTTACATTATTCTTCCGTGTAATTCTTCCTCCTAAAAAAGAATATTTTTGAAATAAAACATGTAATTAATAAGGTCTTATTTAATCGTGATAATAAATGACAAAACTGTTAACTGTGTTATTTTTTTATTTACAAGAACATTTCTCACGGAATCACCCGAAACTCTTTTCATATCGTACATGAATAAAAGTCATATGGAGCATTGAATGAAAGTCTGAATTCAGCCTATTAAAACCAAATAACAATCTTGATAAAATCACCGACGAATGAATGGTTTTATGCTTTCTTTGCCTATCATTCTTATATTTCAATATCTGGTATGTCCTATACGTACGGTATATAAAAAAGTATTTTTACGGTATATAAAAAGTGTTTTATATACTCTAAACATCTTTCGTAAGCATTGAAAAAAAAAAACTTGAAAATTTCAACTTTACTTTAAAATATATTTACCCCACCAGGAAAAACTTGGTTTGCCTGACTCTGTAAATAAAAAAATTATAGTATTTCATCTATCAAATAAAGAAATAAAGTTATACATATATAAATTTACTATAGTTTAAAAAATCAGACAACATTGTATATATTTCTCTATTTCACTGTATTTAAAATTTGGTAACTAAATATAACTTCGCTAACTGTTTTTATATTAACTTTTATAACTAGCAAATTCAGACAGCGCTAAATTAAATCTAGTACGCTAACTTGTTGAAAATTGAATTTCCGCCAAAAATTGTAGACGTCAAGTGTAATACATTTACAGTATTTTCTCAGGAAAAAGAATATAAATTTAACAAATTTTACAAGAAATGTCAGGCGGAGTAATACGTTACTGACGTAACTCATTGTGGCGTAGGCAAGTTATTTTATACAAAATGGATTAAATCTGGTACCCAATCAAGTGACGTGTTACAAACAAAATTAAATTATAATCACGTATCTCTTAAGACTTTATCAACCCTAAATTCCATACGAATATATTGATGAAAAATATATATCTTTTGAAAATTGAACAATCATCGAATATCGTTATATATCTTCTTAAATCCTATAAAGATGCGTAAATGCACGCATTTAATAGGAAGTCATTTGTCAACTAACAAAATAACTAACATACCCAGATCTATCTCAATTTCAGATACACTTTGCACTGTTGAAAGGTTCATGTACCATGTCAATCTTTCGAAGCCTTTTGTTGAAAAGCATTTGACAAACTGTTATCTGTGGTTCGATTTGTTTCTGTGTTTGTTCCATTAATTAGCAGAACTGCAGATCGATGTAGCGATAAATTATCTGCAAGAAATACACATCGATGTTGGATTATTTAAAGCAATATCAGCTGCAACTTTGTTGTCGCAAAACTGCAAATACTTTGAAGCATTAAATTCATATTTTTTGATGTTTTCGATTCTATAACACACATGGCCGTGCCGACAAATTGAATACCGATGACATCCAAATATATGAGTTTAATGCTTCTATTTACAATCTCTAAATAGAGAATAAAAATACTCTTTTTCATATCACAACCTGTATCAGCCCTCGACCAATATCACCCAAAAGGGCTGAGGGCCCAAGGGCTTCTAATGGTCGAAGGCTTATATATGATGTGATGTGGAAAAATACAGTACACATTAAGTTGAGAAGAAAATAAGTAAATAATCATGGACGGATGTCTTACATGTGCACGGCCTACTGTCTCATACGGTTAGGATTTTTTTTCTATTTCAAATGAGCCCGATCCGTAATTTGAAAATAATCTTTTATTTGTCAAATAGATTATCCTTATACCAAAAAGATATAATTAAGAGAATGTTAACCCCCCAAAATATGTTCATGATCACAATTACTGTTTTTTGATGTTTAATTTACTAAGGGCGTGATATTGATCCGTAGCAGCCCCGCAAATCCATATCAGCCAAGCAGGGCTGATACGGCTATTGTGACGTCAGGTATATCGCATATGCAAAAATCCTGTATTTATTACTAAGTATGTAATAACTTTCCCTCTTCATATTTGTTTATTTCGTTAATCTTTGATGTGAATTAAACGCCTTTCATATTTGGTGAGCTTATTAGACGTAAGAGCTATTTGTGACGTTGCAGCGTTAAATAACGCAAACCAAACGAGGGGAAAAATGAAAAATAAATTTAAGAAGCAGATTTATTGTACATTTACGTTAATTTAACCGGGTTCTAATTTAATCAAATTGAGTCATTATACAGTTTGATGTTTCTAGAGTATTGAAACTGCTACTATGTATTATAACGCGCTCTGACAAGGTTTCGCGTGTGTTATAGAAATTTGAGCGTCATGGATTTCTAATGGATTTCATAAAGAAAGTTACAATGAATTTAAATATAATCCGTTGAACGAATTCTCAGATATCTCTGACAATAAAAGAAAATTTTCATGACAATAATGTAAATCTAAAGGAGGTTTGATGAGATTGAATAATAAGACTCACAAAATGTTCATTTGATAATTCAGATTAACTTCACGTTTGACACTAGGGGATGTTAAAGAACTAAAAGAGAACAGTCTTTATCAATCAAATACGTTTGATTAGAAAAAAAAATAAATAGTATGTGCCCCTATTTTACTGACCGTATGAATCATTATATTCGAAGACAAAAAAGACACCACAAATCAGGAAAAAAATAGTTAAAGAAGCCATTTCTGTCTTTGTTAAATGCCTAGTTGTAAGGTACCTAGACTATTAACTGAATTGAACAAGGACGTTCGATTTACATTGAAAATGGTGATTCACTCAAGGAAGATTTTAACGCTTAACAAAATACGGTTTCACCTTTATGAACGCAGATTTTCTTATATAATTTATTGACAAAAACATGTAAACAGAATGAATTATTCATAGCAAAATACCGGTTAATATTATTTTAATTAAATTGAGAAAAAATGTCAAATTCTTTCAATGATATTTATCTCAAAACTTTGTTTTCTTTATATGTATCATCCATAATCTCAATTAGTATTTCTTTTATGTAGCATGTTTTGTCAGGGTTCATTTCAGGTGTTTATCTGTTCAGAAAATTGGTTCCGGGATTGCTTTATCTCCTTCTCCTTCCCACAGTGTAGAGGAAAACCTACAAGGGAATGGCTATATAAGGCAACCATTTAACGAATTATTAACATTCAATTATCTTTCTATAAAATGTCTTCCTTGTAGGTGTGTCTGCTTGTATTATATTAATATATAGTTGTACTTTAAATGAACATTTTAGTTCGCTTTATTTTTTTGTCTAAATAATCATAATATCATGCATTTATGGAATCTTTTTTGTTGTCCGAATTTGAATAAATAAAATATCGAGGGTTCCGATGCTTGACATCACCATTTTATTCAGGAACTTCCGTCATTGAAAATTAAAAAAATATAACCTCCATGTTTTCCTTTCTGAGTTTCCGTATGTGTGTAAGACGTCCAAATGATTAAAAATAATCCTGAGGTAGGTTTGTCTAACAATTCATCCTGCTCAGATACATACCTTGCAACCATTGTTTACAACGTTGTTTGGGTTGTTGATTATACCCTCACAATGCCGCCGGTGAATACGGTCTCAAATCTGATGAATATGTAGTGTTATCATATACTTAGTAGTAAATATACCGATTCTGCACGGTGTGATACGGTGACGTCACAATACCCCATATCACGGACCGGTCCGAAAAGCCACATCACGTATCGGACCGTCGGGCCGAAAATCCATATCAAACCGGAAGTAACGTTTGTATTAACTTTAAAAGTTAATTTACTTGATTTTATTTAACTATTCATATAAAATAATTCTTTAATGACATTTGTGGTCTTATTTTTTTCTCAATTACCTAAAATTGGCTCTATTAGATTTTAAAGAAAACTCACTAACAAGCACAAACATTCTTCAACCACCATATGTGAACTCGTATATGAAGTATTTTAAATATATGATAAATAGAATACTACATACTAAAATCCATATCATATGTCACATCAGCCCTCGGGCCCCATATCAGGCCACTCAGGCTGATATGACATATGATATGGATTTTAGTATGTAATATTCTCTATATATGAACTGTTTGCGCTTGTATAGATTATACATGTAAAGGGACTATGCATAGGCTATAATAATATTCTTTATCATTTGTTATATAAGAAGAAGGCACAGTTTCAATACAAATGAAGCCCGATATTTTTTGAAGATATGAAAGTGATATAAGAAATCAAAATTCATTCTTTCTTAATCACAGGAATTCCCTGCAGTAAGAATATACAAGTCGTTTTTCTCATATGACCTCTTCAATTCTAATTGTGACATCATTAACTTGTGCATTTTCCCGTATTTTCTTAAAAAGTTGCAGGAGACATCAATTTTTAGTGGAATTTTCTTCAAGAAAACACTCTGCCACCGTCGCCCGGAAAGATTTTGAGATATGTGATTTTGCATAGCAGTTTACATAATATATCCAAAATTTAAAGTGGGCGACGGTGGCAGACACTATTTTTTAAAGGAAAATTCGCACAGAAATAAGTCATTTTGAGGCTTTCCTGCATTAAACTTAGAAATGCACCAAATTAATGACGTCATACTTCCAGAAAGGTCCTCCTTCATGCCATATTCTTTAATGATTTATCATATTCATCTACTCAACTATTGTTAAAGCCAATTTCATAACTTTTTAAGAACATTAAATTTTTAGGGCACAATAAAGCTCAAACCGTACCTTCTTCTTTACTCTGATCATGGTGATTTTAATTCAGACATTTTTGAAACGTCTCTTCATATTTACATTTCATTCATTACATCAATGTGAAATGCATTTCTGATAATTTTATCTAGATTCTAAAGTGTAATATTATTATAAATATTTATGCAATTTAAACCCTTTTGATCAATTAACTTTTAAAAAATCACATAACTGTTTCAGAAGAAAGTCTTGTTCAATATATAATTACTACCTATATTATTTTAAGAAAAAAAAAAACACCCTGTTATCTTAAAGAAAAAGGTGGTTTGAAAATGTAGCTTAAAGGAGGGGGTGTTAATAATATGTTAATTTTCAATCGATACTATTAAATAGTTTGGAAAATATAAAATTTAAGGTACAATAAAATTTAATTTTGAATACAAATACACATCGTTACATGTTAAATAAACTTTCTGTTTACTTCCATCGTTCTAAAATTTTATAACGCATTTCCTGTCATTTTAAAACATCAATAATCACTTCTAATTACATTTCAGGTTAAAAACATCAGTTTGACTAAAAGGAGATAAGGAAATGTTTTTTAAACACGTATTTTTTTTTAAAATCTTAACTTACAATATCAAATTAATTTATGTAAAACATCTGACATGACAAGAAGCACAACTTTGATTTTTCTCTTCGCCAGTTTACATTCCTGTAATCTGATAATCTCTTATCAGCAACTGACCAGATTCCGCTAATTTTGCGCACGCTTTTATTCTTCCAGCGTG